GTTCCAAGGACGCCATGTCGATGGTGAAGTTAAGGGGCGTCCAAAAACCGGCGGAAGGATCGGAAGGATCTCCATGGAATTAGGTCAAAGGACCTGGGTCACCTGGTCGCCTGGTCGCCCATGACAATCACGAACGAACCATGAAAATCAACTGAACACCCGTCCAATCGGAGAGCTTCGTCTGATCGACGCTCAGACTTCGGACACCTCTTACTGTAGCCAAAAAACGCGCCCAACAGCAACGCATGCTCGAGAGCTTGGACTTCGACTTCGTTGCCTTGGACGATGCAGGTGGTGAGATGAAATGCTGCTTCAGTCCGACGCACCCTGAGAGATGAGAGGTTGAAGAGCCCCAAGGTCGCCCATCCCATATGTACCACAGGATCCCTGGGTCCGAACAGTATCAGCGACCTGTCAACCTCTCTTGGAAGAGATGAAGCGTTGTAAGCTTCCTGCTCGCCAAGACCCAACGGGCCCGAGGCTGCTGATGCTGCGTCCGACCACCCCGACCCCCGACCGGGTCGAGTGGCGATCGACGGAGGAAGGAGTTCGCATGTGGAGCGACCGTTGAATGCAGTAAAGAATGTGGTGGAGAGTTGAAAGAAAGAACCACACCACTTTTGTGGCATCCAGGACTGAAAACGGATGAATCAGTGGCTCTTTTTTTTAGTGAAGCCGTGGGAAGTCCCAATGTTAACACCGTGGGTTTTTCTAAGAACTTCACGACATTGAATGCAGTAGAACAGGTGGGTTAAGGAACCGACTCCCAAACAGTAGGAGGCCGCGCTGTATAGTGTGACAGTGTGGCTTACATGCCTGCAAATCGATGGACTTCACATGTTTTGGGGGACTGAAGTCGTGCAGGCACGGGGCAGTGGGACCACTGCAGAAGTTCGACCACTAAAAAGCCGCTCCAACGTTCACTTGTGCAATCTTTTTCATATATCCTTTTATTCAATCAGATTCAATCAGTATACAAACAGACATACACGTCCTCTTGAATGTGCCACACACTGGTGCGTAGTGGCTCGCTTCCCTGCAGTGCTTGTGTAGTGCGCAAAGCGCCGGCCATGAGCTGCATGGTTCTTTTTTGGGCCGCTCCGTTCATGGTTCCCAACGAGGGAGACGGAGACCAAGGAGACCCCTTTAGGTATCCTCAGGGTCTTCTCGGTCTCCTCGCGCTGCGGCAAAAAGGAGTTTTCCCTTGTGCCGAGGAAGAGCCTGAGGCACTGTGGGCGCTGTTTAGTCATAGATGCCCTGAATTATTGCAAGAGACGTATCATTCTGGAAGTCACTACAGTAAGTGGTGGTGGTTTATGACTACCAGGTGGGGTAAAGTGAGTCAAAACGGAAGTTCTGGGTAATCTGCACAAGACGCTTGTTTCGACGCCTGCTCCATGCACGCGAAACTTCCTCAAATCTTTGTGGGGTTTTGCCGCAATCATGTGCACGCGTTGCGGTCAATTGGCAAGTGCCATGGCACAGGAGGTCGCAGAACTTGGTAGTTCACCTCCTGAACTAGTCATGGAAGTGGACGGCATGGCCCTGAAAGAATACCCTTTCTCTGAAGACCTTCCACGATTGTTTTTGAGTGTATAGAACATGGAACAGAGAAACAACACCCCTCATCCATTTTGGTCAACTATCCTCACGTCATGGTTTCTTTGGTGAACCCCAGGGAGTGTCCTTTCAACTGGTTGTTTCAGTTGGAGTCTGCACCATGTTCACGAAGCATCGCACCGATCCCCCCCAAGCATCGCCTGCGACCTCCGGCCTTCAAAGACCTCGAGACGAGCTCGCCCAAAGCCCGAGCCCGCCCAAAAGACCAGAGCCGGCATCGCATAGGCTGAAGTATCCACCACCTTCAAGACCCCTGACCCGCGCCTGGTACCTTCAGACGCACCGGTGCGTCCGCCTCACAGGAGTAGGCTAATTAAGGTGACTGCCAGCAGTCTCATGGAGGGCCTGGGTGGTTTTCAGTCCCTAACCCTACACCTCCAGTCGGACCTCCTCAGAAGGTATTTGACCCTCTCAGAAGGAGTGGATGTGACAGGGGCACCCCGACTTCCTCCGTTCGTTCGGCACCCCCTTGTGACTGCTGGTCCCTACCTTTTTTGAACGACGATGACATGTTTCATCTCCAACACTGTTGGCGGTGTGCCCGGTCAACGCAAGGCATCACACCTTCGATGGTATCGGGTTTTTGATGGAGTTGGGGAGCTTTTAGCATGGATGTTTGAGCTGGAGGAACTCTTCCAGGACCATCCTGTTTGGGTATCCTGGCTGGACTACCCAGCCCACATCCCTCCACAATCTCCAGCCAGGCCCACCCAGATTTCGGTTGGTCCAGGTTGGAAGGAAGAAGACGGGGAGCCAGTGATTTCGACCCGTAGGTGACCGACGGATGCGTCCGGCTCGGCTTCCGGTCGGCCCCCCACCATGAATTGAGTATACTGAATTGAGTCTGAATTCATCCCGAAGAACCGAGCTGTTTGACTCAGGATTCTACACTACAAGCCAGGTCAACCATGGTTTCACAGTAGTTTCAGAGGTTGTTTTTTCTGGCACAGACCTTATGATGTCCTTTCATAGAGTGAGAAAGATAGGTCTCCCGGATTTGAACCAAAAACACACCCACACCAGGACCCACAGTTGGGGTGGTTTTCATGGACACCCCTTTCATCACCTCTAAGGAGCTGTATATGAATAGAACCCCCCTAGTCCGGGTGTCCAAAGAACCCTCTGGGAACATGTTCGGAGCCCTTGTGATCGGGACGATCGGGACGATCGGGACACGCGTGGATCGTGCCAGCTGGATCAAGGTTTCCTGAGTGAACTTGGTCATGTGTGTGCTGGGCACATGGCGAACAAGTGAGAACCCAGATCAGAAGGGATGGAGATCAGAAGGATCATGCAGCACAGATGGATCGAAAGGGGTAAGACTTGCCCACTCAGCAGAAATTACAATACAATTATAAGTCTGAATCAATCACTTCAATAAAATCTCACAGACATACCTATCACAAGTGCCTATCTTCAGGTGCCTATGTTCACCTCCCCCTTCACCACTGTTCACCTCTTTGCTTTGCCATCTGAACATAAGAGTCGCACTCTCTCCACCTTCACGCCGCCGTGGGAACCGATGACGGTGAAGGATGTGGCTGTTTGGGGCCCTCCCTGCTACGCTTTGGCGACTGAGCTGAGCATCGCGTTGGTCCGGCCGGAGGGGGAGAGAACACCCGCGGTTCGCCCAACCGCCCGGTGCTTTTGCTCCGGAGAACGGCCGCTGAAGCGCTCTGCTGGGCACCGAACCGACTGGTACCTTCCTTTCGAAGATCCCATCGGGTCCACCGACCATTTCCGGGTGGACCGAAGAGTCAAGGAGCAGCTCGAGTCTCTCGGGTCGACTCGTCAGAGCATTTGTTCGAGTTCGATTGGACCAAAGAAAAAGCAGTTTGAAGGTCCAGAAATGGTCCAGAAAAATGGTCCATGAAGGCTCGGTCTTGGCCATCCCTGCTTCCTTTAAATGGTCCAGAAAAATGGTCCATGAAGGCTCGGTCGCCATCCCTGCTTCCTTTATTTTTGTTTTTCGGCCCCTCTATACTCATCTCAGAGCTCCCCGTCCGCCTTCAGTAAGACCAGTAAACATCCCTGGTTTTGTGGTCTAACATCCCTTCGTTAGTAAGAGAATGGTTCTTTGGGATGAAAAGACCATTGAAACAATGCTGAATTCCATCTCCACTCATCAGTCTGCTGTTTCCCAGCATCGACTCGGTCGCCCAAGTTCTTCAGGACATGTGTTCGGTGACCCGACGGTCGGGTCACCGAACGCATGTCCTGGAGGGTCTGGAGGGGTCTGGGGTCCTTCCACGACCAGGGCCATTTGAATCCAGTTCTGGGGAGTGCGGCGCCACTAGGGAGTGTGGGTGAAGCAAAAGGTGGCTTTTTGAACACACCCCATGGGTTCGGTGCACCCGGTGACGGGTTTCATGGAATCTGTTCACTTGACCCGGGGGAGGAGGAAACATGTATCGGTCGGAGGAGCCTGATCTTCGATGCAACCGCGACTCCTTTTGGTCGAGCGGTTGTTCAGGTTTGTGTCGATGGCGCCTCTCTTAGCTGAAGAATCTGACTGACCTCGCGATCAAAAGCACCCAGACGCTCCAAACAGCCCTTGGTCCCCAGACCCCTGACCAGTTCGGATTCGGGTCCGACCCTTCCATATGAGAGCCCAGGGTCGCGTCTCCTTTCCTTGTCGTTCCATCCGATGCAGCGAACCCTAAACTCTTCGGCTGCTACCTCCCGGAAATCTGCGGCTGAGGCGGTCTTATTTGCGATCCACATCTATGCGGCTCGTCCAGCTGCCGACACGGGGAAGGTGTTGCAAGAAGAAACAGGTCACAAAAATGGGCTGCCGACCTGCGAACCTTTCAAGTGTCAATCCCTTCGCCAACAAACCACAATGCTTTCTCGTTTTCGCCTATCAAACGGCAACCGGTGGGTGCGAATAAAAACCTCCGAAACGGAGCGTCGACCTGCTCGAGGTGAAGGAGAATGGGTGACCAAGCGGGATGGGACTAAGGGTGACAAAAGTCGACTGCATTTGAGTGACCATGGGGGACCGAAGAAATCAAAGACAATGTGGATTTTACCATTTGATCTGATCTGTTTTTGATGACCACAAGGATACACAAGGTTCCAAAAGGAATCAAACTGGATTATACTCCAGTGGAAAATCGGCATTCGATGGCGACGATCCGTCTCCCATAAGGTGACCAGGTGCCTTTTCGAGTCAAGCCAGCGAGATCGGACCCCATGCATGTTGCAAACTGAGACCGGTCCGGTCCGTCTGACGCATGCAGATGCGACCGGACGGACCAATGGAGTGCTTTCATGTGGTCGTCTACCAGGACCGACACCAGTCGAGGTGTTTGTTTACGCCTCTTAGATCTCTTAGGTTTAGGAGGTGTCCAAAAACCAGCGGACTTGGTGTCGGTCCTGGTAAAGACCATTTATAAAAAATAGTCCTGGACTCCCAGGGAAAGTTCTTTCTGTTTTGGAGTCTTTTCGATGTACCAGGAATGGTTGTTCGCATTCCTCCACACTTTCTTCCATCGTCCAAGCCTGCAAGGTCGCAACTCAACTCCCCCCGAGTCCGAAAGTCAGAAGGAGACAGACGGTGAAACGAACGTCTCAGCTTCACTGCGAAGAACACACGACCACCCGAGGTGTTGCAAACACGTGCGCGGGTTCAGCTCGGTGTGTTCAGCTCGGACAGTGAGTTCGTGACGCCTGTTTTGAGGCCAAAGGAAGTCACCTCTGCATCGTGATCCTGCTGGATCTCCTCGTCCTCTTGCTCCTGGCAGCGGCTGGTCGGAGAACCGACGGAACATACACCACACACCGGTGCGGACCACCCAATAGGTTGGTACCTCTCTGCTATAGGTGGGTGTGCCTGGACCCCCGAACAGAATTTGGCAAAAAACAACAAGTACCAGCACCTTGTTAACAGGTCTCCTCTGGAGGCTTTTGTAGACTTAAAAGTCGCAGGTGGCGACCTGTTGGAAGGTCCTGGTAGAGGGGTGGCTAGCTCCGTGAATCTTTACAATCAAGGAGAGTTGCTTGGCAGCAGATTCTGCTTCAAGAGCTTCACGGCGACTCGTATGCTCCAGGCTTTTATTTATAACTTGGACAGTGAGTTCATCAGATGTTCAGACACTCCATGGAATATGTTTGTTTCCTTTTTTAAAACAACTATAATTATACAAGGACCCTCCAAGGTGATTCGGGGTGTCCAAAAAAAGCAGGCGATTTCGGAAGGTCCTGGTACATGGAGTGTTTGGGATGTACTCCAACATATGGAGTTCCATTCGCAAGCTCCGGGTTTGCAGGAGGGACCGAGGTGAGGTTGGATAACCCCGATGAGTCCGGCGGGTACTACAGGGTTGATCCGAAGGGGATTGGATTCATTCGGTGGGGTTGGACATGGGTACGCAACCCTCACTCATAGCTTGGATTTTCCAACGCACACATATTTGCCGAACGAAGGGCTAGTTTTTTGATGAACAATGATGAACAGGTAGACACTTTGGAGTTGGAAGATCTATGTAGATATTATTAGATATATGATATACATGTTTTTTGACTGGTTTAGTGGGTCTATCCCCCAGATAGTTTGAGTTGATCTTGTGGGACAGGACCTGGGAATTCCTGGGAACATGAGAAGTTGTTATATATATAAATATACGAGACTTGCATTTGCATGGTGGAATTGTCTTGCTTGCACCAAGCAAATCCACTATACCGAACAGATCCACCAAACCATGTGCCTTCGCCCGAACCAATAGGAAGGGTTTGGCTCGGGTCTGGGACCCCGAAGGTGTTGGGTCCAACCCCCAGGGCCCAAAGAGGTACAATCTAACTGTCCAGAGATACCCCAAACCTCGTGGCACAGCCACAATTGCTTCGCCCCAGGTGAAAGCTTGGCAGGCTTTTCGTCCCAAGTGCACGCACCCCGGCCGTGTTTAGGAAGTCCTTCACCTGAATGGACTTCCTAACCGGTTTCTCGGGTTTCTTCGGTGCTGCCGCACCTTCCAACCACTCACCGTCCCTCCCAGCACCCCACGGCACCTGACCGCCAGACGGAGCCGAGGCCGTGGGGTGGCACTCGCTGTGGGGCTCAGCGCTGCTCACCGGCCTGGTCGCCACTGGGGCGTGTTTGGAAGCGGCTTCCGCCGAGGGGCGTGGGAACGAGGTGTCCGGCCGTCCGGTGTTCCGGTGGGAGAGAGGTGGGGTGAAATCCGAATTGTTCCCAGCAGGCCAAGCGTCGTTCCAAGCTGTTTTCCCATGCTGTTTCCACTCCAAGGCACCCCATTCCAAGCCTCCAAGTTCACCATCCCATCTCGAAGACATGCGAGGGCTCACTTTTTTGGGGGCCCGGACTCCGGCGGACTCCGGACTCTCCCACCATGGGGGGGAAAAAGCGCCCCAAGTAAATCTTCTGACTCACTAAATCCACTACTTTTGTCCCGAGATCCCGCGCGAAAAATCAGCCGTCGAGTTCGAGTCCGAGCCCACTCCTGGGATCCAGCACAACCACTCCTAAGAACTCCTCCAGCTTCCTACTTGGTCCAGCCTAAGAACAACCTAAGAACTTGGTTCGTCCCGAAGACTTCCTCCAGCTTCCACATCGCCTTCCCGTTCCTGCACCACCTTCTTTTCAGCACTCGCCCGAGGCCTGTGTCATGTTTTACCAGCACCGCCGCATTTGCGATGAAGAGAACAACAAAACCTTGGCGATGGCGAGGCAGATGCAGGCGCGTGGCGTGTGGTGTGATTAAAACCTCTCTATTATTTTTTTTGGAAGCGAAGCAGGATGTGTTTTGCGTGGGAAAGCATATGAAACCTATATATGTGCCCTTAGCTTAGACCGGTGGATGGCCCGCCTACCGCACAGCTGGGAGCTCTCAGGCCTCCATGGCCCGACCTTTTGATCTCCCATGATTGATGCTCTATGAAATGAGTACCTAGCACTTCCTGTCTGCATGCCCAATCCTATCTGGAGACCTATATATCAGTCCGTGTGCTGGGTTGTCCAGTTGGTGACCCGTTGGAAGCAGGTCTCTGATTCCACTCCAGTCAGATGGTCAGATGGGCCAGTTAGTCCTCCAGCCAGTCCTGCACCGGGCGATGCACGCGCCGGGGCGCTGCACCGGGTGGGATGGAGCGGCAGGATGGAGGCGGCGTCACTTCAGAATGGTGAGGACAACTGCGAACAGTTTGAAGAACTTGACCACCAGAACAGTTCGAAGAACTGGTGACTCCTCTCATGTGAAGAAGAGTATTTGGGTTATTTGACAAGAGGCAGAAAGCAGACTCGCCAGGAACGAACAGGCTCCTCAGTGTGTGACTTCGAACAAAAAAACAGTGCTCCTTGGTGGTATGTTGAACTCAGATCAGGTTTATTCCTGCGTCTCCCTATCGAAATACACACACCTAGGACATGGGTGCTTCCCCAAAGAACCATTTGAATACGAGGATCGAAAAAGTGTCAATCACATATTCGTTCCAGGTTCTTTTGGTTTTCCATCCAGAGACCCAGTAGATGCCATTCACCAGCTTCAGCTTCAGCTGCACGATGTTCCGCATTGGTTCTCCAACCATCCCTTCTATCCGACGCGCACGAAAGCAAAGTTCCCTCCGTCAAAAGACATGGCAGTTGGTCAAAACAGGCCGGCCCAGTTTTTCCCACTGAGCATGAACAGAATGGACGTCACCAGACATGGTCAACCTAGCAGGGTTCTTATAGGATGAACAGAATTTTGACCCACAGCCATATATGTACACCAGGGCCCCCTGTTTGGGGTGGTGAATGGATACCCCGAATCACCTCTGTTTGGAGCTAATAATTAGACACCCCTGGCCCGGGGGCCCTGGTATATGCTGTCATCTGCTGAACGGCGTTCTGCCGCAGCTGAACGGCTTCAGCCGCTCCAGGTGCCTTTGATGAGCGAAGAGGAGGAAGCTCTACAGACGCGATCAAAGAAGTGCCTCGCCTCGTTTCCGTTTCCTCGTTCGACGGTCCTCCGAAAAACGGTTGGACCAGGTGTTTTTCGGTTTCGACCGACATGAAAGGCGGAAGACGTGGGTGGAGTTGTTTGCATTTGGGCAACTCTTGTGGTTCTGGGATTCTTCAACTCATTTTTGTATAGGTGTAGAGACTCTGGAGAAGAAAACAAGGACCATCCCGGGTCGCAGTGCAGGGGAGTCCAGCCAGGACACCCCAACAAGATGGCCCAGATATAAGTATAGATGAGCAACATGTTCCATTTCTACCAGCACCCTCCCGAATCCGGTGGTTGGAAGGACACCCTGTTCCTCACCTCTTTACGAGGCGATTGAGAGACTTGGTGTCGGTCCGGAGTGTCAACAAAAAGCAATCTTGAGCCAAACAGCTGGCTAAAACTGATTTTCAAACCTCAGGAGTTAGGAGAGTTTTTATCATTCAACCGATGTGTGAAGATCTGCAAACATGGTGTTTTGTTGGTTGAGAATCTCAAAGATGGCCTTGTTTCGCTGAGGCACAAGCTAGAAGGACACCCTGTGGGAACATACTGAAAGTCATCAGAATTATGAAGACCTTGTGGCAAAAAACATATCATTTCTTTTGAGGCTGCATGATTTTTGCTTTCTTTGGGTTGCTGTACAAACATGCTGCAATGTAATTATACAATGCTGATGATGCCAAAGCTAGGGCGAGCATCACCAGCATCTCTTCATCCAAGAAACCCATAGTTCCGTGGAAAGGAGATAGGTTTTTCTGGACACAAATATGGGAGAGGATCCACATAGGAAGATACCCAGACAATGCGTCCCTATTTTGATACACAATCACATTCTTTTGCGGATTGCTTTTGCGGGGAAGGTGCCGATTCGAACCGGGACCATGTTTCTGCTCGGTGACTCTGGAAACATCGGGCAACCCCAAGATCTTTTGGGCCATAGCTGAAACATAGCTGAAACCCGCCATGCTACAACCCCTTTTCCAGTCGCTCTGAGGACAAGAACCCATGTCTCCTTCTTACGCTTGGACCGAGGATTTTCCAGGTGCTGGCCGTGCTGGGGGCGGCCTCATGCACCATTTGCGCCTCAGAGGCCCTGGCTGTGCACCACATCTGAGGCGTGAGGGCGAGGGCCGTCGCGCCGGAGGTGGACGGCGTTTTGCAGAAATGAGGTCCTTGAGTCCTTAAGACCTATCAGTGTGGGTACCGAGCTGACGGAACCGTGATTTCGCATGAAGACAGCTCGGTGGACCTGGGTTTTGTAGTGTAAACTCCTTAGTTGGTTCGGTCTTCAGCCTATTATGGTGGTTGGAAGTTTGTCAGCACCCGAGACCTGCCAGGTCACCACCTGCGACTCTTAAGTCTGCATTTCAGCCACCAGGGAAGACCTGGCAGGTCGACCTGGTGCTGGTAGGGGTAGTTCTATTTGTTGCTCCTTGGGATCCGCTCGAGGATCATGCGTCGCCGAGGATCTCGGACTCCCAGAGACGAGAGATCTCCGAATCGGCCTGGACGCGGAGGTCTGGATCTGTGTGTAAGTAGGGAGTCAGATAGTCGGTCTCGCCAGGACACCCCGGATGAGCAGGTTACACCCTGGTTGCACCTGGCTGGACCTCGTCACCTGGCTGTTGCAGCCGCCCCAGCCCACAGACCTATCCGGGATCTCCAGCCACAGCCCTTTCAAGAAGGTCGGTCCAGGTACCTGGATCTTCCAAACTGTGCAGACATTTTCTGCCGAACCTTCATCTCCGTCCAATTCAGCCGTTCGTGACGGCAGACATGGCTGGCATGTCGTTGGTTTCGATCCAGGTATTGGAACGGTCATCTTCAATCTCCCGTGGGAAGTGGAAGAACACTCACTCCCATCCTTTTGTCCCTCCGAAATTCCCGAAAACATGTCCCTCAAAAGTGTCCTATTTCCAAACATCCTGAAAAGGTTGGTTCCCTCATGTACCCTCCATTCTCCCAGAAGGTTGCGCAAGAGACTCGACCTTCATCCCCTAGGCTTCCAACAAGTTATTAATTCAATAGGCTTTATGGAATAAACTAAGGATTTTACCCCACAAAAACAAGGTCAAACATTTTTCAACTGGTCTTGGAAGTCTAGGGATCCCCTCCCTCTTTCTTCCATCCCCACGGGGTTTCCGCCTGCTTGCCGCGACCAGCCAGGCTTCTGCCCGGAGGACGAAGCCAAGCGGAGGAACGAACGGAACGCGACCAAAACAGGGCGCCGGTGCGAGGCACATGGCGCGACACATGGCGCGCCGGCACTGGACCTAAGCACTAGGAGCTCCCAGAGTCGGGTACTTCTTTTTGGACCCCCCCGCTGATCAGATGAGAAAATCCGTTCGCGATGTTCCAGCCTCCCAGGATCAATCTAGCTCTTTCGCAGACCATCCGGATCTTTAGATCCGCCTTTTTCACTGCTTTTTGGGCTCTGGAGTAGGGAGGGAGACCTCCACTTCCAAGGCCAATCGCAGATCCGAAAGATCGTTCACGTCCGTGGCACGCCGCTTGGTAGATCACCACAGGTCATGGTTCAGTTGGTGAGGTCTGCAGAGCTTGGCTCGTGGAACTTGGAGGCATGGGGGGAAGAAACAATGCTTGCATCACAACTTAGAGGACAAAAGCAGCAGAGCTTGGTTCATGGAACCCATGAATCACCTGTTAGATCAGGGAACCAAGAGGTGCTTGCAGGTGATTGCAGGTGCGTGCAGCCGTGTCCTATCTCAATATCTTAGATCAGCAATCGGAAGGCCATGAGAACATGACTCCACTGTGCAGAAGCTTCCAGGCAGGCTTCAGCCAGTCTGAACCAGAGGCAGGATTCTCAACGAAGAGCATGTCCGATTTCTTTGGCATTCTTTTTCAAGAGCTCTTTGTTTTGCAGCTGATTGGAAGGCTCTTTGTTTGGCTCCCAATTGCAGCTGGTTTTTTTCCAACCATGACCTCAGCTCGACCTCAGCAAAGCAACCCACCCACCAACGAGTGCTCGTCTACCTCCAAGCGATGGGCCGGAATCCGCCGTCGCACCCGGAGGGTGCGGATGCCCGCTCCGGACGTGAGGACGTGGAGCGACGCCGTCGCACCGGGTGAGCACACGGTGAGGAACGGTCCACCCCGAGGTTTCAGAGCGAAGAGATGCAGAGGTTGTTGCAAGAAACGTCGGTCTAACCACCGGGAAACCGAAGTGCAGCGGTTTCTTGCACTAGTTTTCTCTTTTTTTTGTGAGAAGATTCGGTTATATGGATGAATTTATAGGCTAAAGTCTGGGTCAGAAGGAATCCCCGTGACGGGTCCTTTGTTGGGGGGGGAGAACGTCCGTCCCACCCTTTCTTGTGGGTTTTCGACCAACTAACCAGAGCAAGTCCCTTGGGCCGTGCTAGATCAGTGGCGAGGGCCCGGCCGGTTCCTCAGCCCATCAAGACCCCAAGCAGCACCGAAACCCTGCCAGGTCGACCAGGTCGACCTGGTGACTTTTGAAGACTTAAAGAGTGGACCTGGTGGTGACCTGGCAGGTTTCGGGTCCAGGATGGTCTTGATATTTCAACCCCCCCGACATGAAGAGGATTCTGAAAGAAGAACAAGGGGCGTGGTTTGCCACAGAGCGGATTGATGTTCGTAACGTGCGTGCCCTCTTCTGAAGAGGTTTTGTTACTTTTTTACAATCAACATGTGGGGTTTGATTCATCAAGACTCCAAAACGCTGCGACCACCGACCACCGACCACATTGTGCCCGGGGACGAGCTGACTTGAAGTGTGAAAGAGTGTTCAGCACGCTACGAAGAGGTTCCGGCTGACTTGTGCGTGTTTTTCACCTGGTCGATGGGCCCAAGGAGCCCAACCCTGAGGACTCAAAACAGTCTGAAGCAGAGGGGGTGACCGGCCCTTTTGCTCTGAATACGAAGATCAGTATGATGAATCATGCAGTCTGTGGTCCGCTCAAGATCAGTACCCTGTTCCAGTATTTCTTTGGTGCAAATTGATGCATGACATGCCTCTACATGCTCCATTCGTGGGTCCAAACACCAGCGCTCGTGCGATCATGATTCATTCCTTTTCTGGGATCAGATGTTGAAGTAAACATCCACCACAGGCTGCTTGATGCCAACCGTGCTAACCCACTGACCATGCTGCCCACTGCAATTGCACAGTCGTTGCTGGTCTCAAGGAACTCTGCTTAGTAAGATGTCAACGATACATCTTTTTTTCGCTGAACACGTTCCATCTGATGCGAATGTTCATACACTCTCAACCAAACACATGCAAATGGAGGGCATATGGATGGCATGGTCCCCACATGCGAACACTACCCTACCTTTAAATTATGAACATCGGCGGGTTTGCGTCAGTTTTCCACTCAAGCTTGATTTGACCGTGAGAGCTCGTGGGCGGGTAAGAAGTCGCATGTTTCAGCCTGAGTCAGTCTACTGTCAATGCAGGACTCCACTGGAATTCGACCCTTTGGCCCTTGTGTTCAGCTCCAAACTGCTCTGCTGTTCCAGCATCGTGTCCGCGCCATGAGCGCTTGCGAGGGCAAGGGCGGCGGCGAAGCCAAGGCCAGGGGGGCGAAGCAGAACATGAGTGACCTCGGACCACCAACCATCCAAAAAGATGTTTTTGCCCTAACAGTATATCAAAACAGGCCGAGCTGCTCAATGGTTGTATTTTTCGGTTGATCAAACTCCTCGATCTCCTTGATCGCAGTGAAAAAACCCTAGGGCTCCATACCCTCAGAAGATGATTGGACCCCCCCAAATCCACCCCAACCATCTTCTCAGAAGGTAGGCCAATAGCCCTATAGGGAACATTTCCAGTTGCTTGCAGAGGTTCGATGGCATCAGCTCCCCAAGATATCTTGTCGACGGATGGGCGGAAAGAACTGCATTCTGTCCAAGCATCAGGCGGCCACTCAGCTGGACAACACGGCTGTCACAGCCGTGTCATCCAAGTTCTTTCGAGGTGAAAGATCACCTCCAGGTGAGGTGAGAACCCCCTAACATACACAAAACATACCTCTGTTTGAGATGTTCTTTAGTACGTGCTCAAGCCAAGCCGCTGCTTCGTGCCACGTGCTGCGGCGAACATCAGCGTTGCTGAATCTCCGCAGCAAGCTGCGGCGCCTCAGGAGGGATGGACGCCGGTGCAATACCTCTGGAAGTCCAGAATCCCTCTCATTGCTGCACCTTGGAGACAGGGGGATTGGCTTCGTAGGATGTACTTTTTTTGGGTTGGTATTGGTATGATATAAGATCGGATATTCTCTCCCGGTCTCTCCCTGATGTTTAGAAGATGCAACCCGATAGTAGACTTATATAATGCCGTGAAGTTTCTCAAACCATTAACCATATACTCCCTAGACTTCTGTTCGACCATTAAAACCATGGTCTTTCACTGGCTTTTGTAGTGTAAGATCCTTAGTTCGTTCGGGATTCAGCCTATGAATGGTGGGCCAGGAAGCCTTAGGGTACTACTTGTTGGTTTCCAAGTGATTTCCCGCACGGATGTCTCTTGGAGATGACTTTCCTGCTTCCCTGTCTCGGCTTCGTTATGGATTCGATCCCAGGCGCCGGTGCTGCTGGCCCTTCAACACACTGAGCGTCATGTTGAGACAGAGCTTCTTGGTGGAAGAGGTTAGACATTGAGGTTGGTGACCAGCTGAAACCGTCAAAAAGCAGCTGGTCAACTGGCAGCATGGGGAGCACCCATTGATGCAGCGGCTTTTTTCTTAGATGATGCTTTCCGCACCAGATCCTGTGGTATCCTTTGGTTCCGGAAAGGCGGAGAAACGAAGGAGTTAGATGGCGCTCTGACTCGAGGGGGCCTCTGAGACGGGTCGCCAGGTCCATTCCTGTTGATCAAAGAAGCTTTTAGTTATGACCAGGGGTGGTGTTTGGTCTCATCCAGGGGCTGTGGAGTAGCTGGGCACCCCTAACCTCCAAGACTACCTCCAAGTTTGGCACCCCGTCAAACGTGACTCCTGGTTATGACGAGTCCTTTTCTTTGCCTGGCCATTCACGCAACACCTCCCACGCGCAGCATGGTGCTCCGGCCGCGTCGGCACCTGACAGCTCCGAGAGGTTCGCCTTCGAGCTGCCCTTGCTGCTTTTCTTGGCCCTGGGAACAGGCCAAGGAAGAAATCGCTCCGCTGACATGTTCATGGGACATGTATGGACATGTTCATACCTGGAACCCAGGGACTTCATATTTTCCAACCTGGAACGAACTCGGGGTCCTGGGAGGTGGATCGTGGGCTGGGGCGGCTGACCTCGAGGGTCCTGAAGGTGCTCATGGACCCCATGTTGCATGGATGGTGTCAGGGCTCCTTGTCCAGCCTTCACCAGCGTTCAGACCGCTTGAAGACCCAGCGCTGCCCGTCTTCGGTCTTCGGGTTTCCTGCCTTAAGCAGGAAGAAGCTGACCAGGTCCGGAACGGTGCAGGGCGTTCCTGTCAGACATGGTGTGTATTTTTCTATACTCCCTAAGAATCCTTGGGCTCTCCATGACTGGGGTACCTATATGGGATAGACGAACGTTCGGGTTCTTCAACCTCTGGTCCCCCTAGAAGTCCAGAAACCGACGATATTTGGACCGACTGAAGGTTTCAGGACATTCCCCGACTGAAGTGAACGTGGTGCCTTTGGACCCAAGGCTCACCCTTACCCAGACACGACCCGTCTGGGACTGCCATAGGACTGCCGCCCCATTGGATTACATTGGGATGGTGGGTTTGGGGCTCAATGGGGCGGCAGTCCTATGGCAGTCCCATTAGTCGTGTCTGGGTACTACTGTAATTGTTTGACGTTCGTGTTGTTTCGGTCGGTGAAGGCTTTGTTGGATTGGTTGCGTTCATATGCTTTCTATACCATTATATGGTTGCTTTCAGACCTGGATCTTCCAGCTGTGCAACATGTCCTGCCGAACTTCATCTATCCAAACCCAGCCAAGTCCTTCAGACCTGGCTGGCATGTCGTTGGACGATCGAGGTGGAGAAACGGCGTGCGGGTTTGAGCCGTGCACCGGGTCGCCGTACATCGGCAGGCTACTTGCGCTTACCATTTTCCATTACCTGGTGGCTGGTCTTGCTGGCTGCCTTTGCGCTTCAGACCAGGTGCGGGGTATGTGTCCCTGTTGCCCCATTGGTTGCCGACATCAGAGGGAAGGAGGAGCACATCGAAGCAAGAGGAATGACACCAACGCTTCAACAACAGGGTCGAGGAAAA